AACATACTTCAATTAGAATACTAGATTGGAACGACACAAGTTACCTCAATACATAATATTTCAATGGAGGGTGCCGCCACAAGAAAGGCTGTCGTCCATATAATGTCAAATTCAACAAAGATACCACGCACAGACAGCTTCCTTAGCTTGTTGAATGCGGTGCAGAGTTGCTTCATTTCAGGTTGCATCCAAAGCTGACCACAAGATAAAAACAAAATAAGAAGAAACAGTTTAAAATCATCTCTAGAAAACAGTACATGTATGGAGGTTCTTGAATTATTTACAGCTCTATTTGTACTCTATCATGCAAAAACTCATCCATGGTATATCCCGGATAAATATGACCGCACAGAAAATACAGAGGCATGACAAATGTAGTGAATACAAAAAATAAATTAAGTGGTACTTACATTTTCTCCTTGGAAGTCCAATGTCAGAGTATGTATGCTTGTGGTTCCATGTAGAACCTCACTTAATTTAAATGGTACATGCTTTAGTGTTAACGCAGATGAGAGTTCTAATTCCCCAAGAGATGGGACATAAGACATCAGCAAGGGGCTATATTCAGACAACCAATGATACCATGTGAGCTTCTCCAGCTTTGGAAGGCAGACCAACTCAAGCATCTCAAAGCGACAGAAGTGGATTTCTAAAACACTGAGTTTTGAATTTGGTGCATCTATCTTACAGAGATTGTGGCGGCCAGTATCACAGTAAATGAGGAATAGATGCTTCAGTTCCTTGCAGCTGTCAAACAGGACACGATTTATGTCCAGTTCACTGAAGCATACATTGTACAGAGAGAGCTTTGTGAGGAAATGGAGCACACTAGGGTAGGCAGTGAAAAACCCATATATATCTTGCGCTCGCTGAAGCATATACTCCTCATTACGGTCAAGAGGATCTGTCCCGTCATGAATGGTGAGATCCAAATCTTTTAACAAACCACAATCGACTGCATCACCTACCAGTGGGCCAAGGTCAGACAAGAAAGTATTGATCAAGTAGATCACAAGGTCCAGCCTCGCGGTGGTGGATCCTCTCCGAGGTTTAGACAATAAACTCCTAGTTGCTTTAGTTAGAGCCACCATAGCTTCCTGCATGTCATTTGCCTCAATCGGGTCTGAGTGTGGAGCAGGTAGGAACCACCTGACATCAATACTGAGCTCGGGCAGCAGCCAGGGCAGCTGCCTCCACCGTGTTGACAGCGAACTTGTCCGTGCGGCCGTGCTTATGTTGACTTTCCGCAAGATCGACAGTAAAACATCGTCCGTCAGCGCGCTCAACCTATCTTCCTCCTCTGGTTCCTGCGTACAGAGATATGGATCAGGTTACTCTGTTGCGGATTAACCAAATTCAGAGTCCCCAAACATTTAATATGTATAAGAACAAACGATAGTACCAAGACAAGACATACAGTGACAAGAACTAGGAACATCTACCTACCGAGAGACCCAAACTAGCACCAAGCACACAGGCATGAATTTCCACCTCATATGAGCTTCCCCCAAAACAATCTCACTACTCTCAGTCCCCTTCCAACACACCGAACCCCAGGGTGCAGGATTGTCGCGGTGGTTGCATCTCAATCTCTTTTTTTTTGCGGCAACAGGACAATACAAGAAGAAGAAGGGCAACAGGACAGGCTATGGGATAATGGTCGATTCTCACCGTCGTCTTGTTCGCCATGGGGGAATCCATCCCCTCGGTTCCTCACCAAGGCGTCGCGGCTCGCCTCCACGGCTGCAGATCTCGGAGCTAACTTCCCCGGCCGGAGGCGGCTCCAAGCACCGGCGGCGGCCTACAGTAGACGCAGAGCCCACCCCCGCCGCAAACCCTCGGTGATGATAGTGGCGCGACTGTCCTCTTCCGGCGGCGGTCGATTGGGAGATTACTGGAGAAAGAAAAAGCTCGATCTGAAAGGGGGGCTGAGATTGCTCTGTGAAGTCTGGCCGTAATTTTTTTTTGAGCGCCTGGAACATCTGCCCTCCAACTGAGATCTGACGGCGGAGATGGAATAGCACCACCTGGACAGCCGAGAGAAAGAGAATGTATGTCGACATGTTTGAGAGCGTACATTCACTCATTTGTTCCGTATGGAGTCACTCGTTGAAATCTCTAAAAAGACATACTATATGGGAACGGAGGGAGTAGGTAGCATGCTAGGAAGCAACATTCAGCTTGAACCAGCTGTAAAAAGAACATTCAACTTGAACTAAACGGCTTTTCTAAAACTAGAACTACTTAATTTCCAGGAGCTCTGGCATTGCATTATAAAAAAAGAGAGCTGATCCAGTTTATAAGAGAAACCGGATCAAAAACCTCAAAAAGTGACCGGTTTATAAGGAAACCAAGCTGAAAACCGCACAAGCAACGAAGCCTCTTCGACCACACAACACAAGGCCACAATTGAAACAAACACACACCCCCGGCTCCGGAGCCGCCGCTCCGAAATCCCTCGCCAGCTCACGAGCCATAACGCCGCACGGTTCGGGCGGCCCATAGCCCTTGCTACATACACGGGACAACCGACCACAGACCATGAACGTTGTGCCAAACATCCGGGGCCGCCGCCCCGACTTCCTGCCAGACCAACCCCTCAGGCCTCAAGATGGCAATGGGGCCCCGAAATCCGCGTCCCCGCGGGTTTTTACCCTATTAGAGGACGGGGATGGGCGAATTTCTATCTTATAAAACCTGGCATGTTTCGCAGGTTTAAACCCGTTCCACTACTACCCGAACCCGAAACCTGACAATACCCATCAAAATATGTTTTTGTAGCGTGCACTAATCCATCTTGACTCAAGTGGCCCAAAGCCACAACGCCCTGAGTGGCCAAGCCCCATAGCGTCGAGGTGGAGTACAAACCAACCCCTCGCTCGGTCGCTGCAGTGTCGCTCCCTCTTCAGGCCTCTCTCTCCCGCACAACACAACACCTAAACCTAAACCTAGGTTCCCAGCCGTCACCTGCTGTTGTAATATGCTCTTGTTTTTCTTTTAAATGTAGTTGTTTTCATTGACTGCTCATGGGGACGGGTCCCGTGGGTTTAGAAAACCCAAGGGTTTAGGGGACGGGCAAAAATTTAACCCCGCACACGTTGATGGGGACGGGGACGGTTTGTGATTTTCTCGTGGGGATGGGTTTGGGCAAGCAAAACCCAATGTGTTTCGTCCCTGTTGCCATCTTGACTCGGGCCGCGTCCAACCGGACCGACGACCTCGCTACCCTTGCAACACCAAGTCGCCGCCCAAGCCATGCAGAGCCACGAACCTACTCCATAGAGCCGCCGTTGCATGGCCATCCGAGGCCGCCGCCTCGGCGTACTTCCACCGTCCGGAGCTGCCGCCCTGGCATCCACCACCCTGTCCACGACGCAAAACCTGCACAATTATCATGAACCCACCATCCCATAAAGGTCAAGGATTCCAAGGCGATGCCTTCAAGAAGGTAACGACATAAATGCCGCCACCGCCCGCTCCGACGGAGCTTGGGTTTTCACCAGGAATCACATAACAATACAATAGATGGATGTATCTCCACGATGAGGCCTTCAAGAAGGTACGCGACCCTCAAGAACGCCGCCATCTCGGCATCGACTGGAGAAGGTGCAAGACTTTCGCCCAGAGAACAACAATTGTGCAGGAAGCATTGCAGCCAACCCCCAAACCCACATGCACGATGCAACGTAGCACCACGCCATGCCATCACGCCTCCGGCCACAACCACAACCACCTCAAGCCCAGCCCTCTGCAACGGAACAAGCAGAAGATGAGCACACCAGTACAGGGCCGGAGACCAATCTCCACAGGCACCGTAGCATATGCGCCCTCGCGGCAGCGGCGCGCCGTCCAAAAACTGCAGCTCTCTGCCGCCACCGCAGCTCCCCAGCTGAGGGAGGGGACTCCAGCACTCAGAGCGCCCAGCAGCCGCTGCAAGCCGCAGCGCCGGCACTGCAGCACGCCAGAGTGCCACCACCGCCAGATCCGGACGCCTGTCGTCAGATCCATGGTGGTCGGCTCTGAGCATCGCCCCGTATACCCTCAGCCGAGAGTCGGAAGGAGCAGCGCCGCCACCTTGCCCGGGGCCGCCGCCCCGGCTTGCCTGCGCCGGCGAGAGGGCCGCCGCCGCCCAGCCGCAACCAGGAGTGGAGCTCCGTCCAGTGCCGAAGCCGCACGCCATGCGGCGAGGAGGCCCTGCCGCCGCCTTCCACCGAGCGGGCTTTGCCCGTCAGCATCCCCCGGTGGCGGCAGGGGAGCGAGGAAGGAACAGGGAGTGGGGGCGCGCGGCGGCTAGGTTATCGCCCGTGCCGCCCCTGGGAGCGACGCGCGCGAGCGACCATGTTGCAACAGACGGTCCCAGCCAAGTGTTCTGTCGTCGTGTTCCTTTTTGAAAGTGTTGCTTGGCATGCGGTGTTCCGGAGTGCTAGGAGCGTGGTGGGAATTCTCGGGTAGGCGTAGTGGTTGTGGGTCATTATCATTTTTGTTGGTCTGACCTTGTAGGCATTATTTTCGTTGATTCGCCTTGTGGCCACGGACGAACAGTACTGATCACTTGCAAGTTGCAACACACACACAAACTATAAGATAGGATGCACCACCCAAGCAGTTTTTGCCAAGAGCACTTGCCAATCACTTGCATCCCAAACAAGGTTTCTTACCGAGCGTTCTTGCGTTTCTATATACATAGCATACTTCAGCTGAATCCATAGCGAAATGCTGGCTGCTGCTCCACTTCTTGGCGAAATACTTCAACCAAATTTGAGCTGGTCACTCGAGGATTTTCAGTCATCTGCTCTACACACAGCTATCGCAGCCTTGCTTCATGACCTTTAATCGAATCTCTTCTTAGTATTTGTATATATGTAAATGTTTACTGATGTTAATAGGGCAGAAAATACGCCACTCAGCATACATTCTGTTATTAATTCCAAGCTACAGAGTATAACACATAAGTAACCCGTACTAGAGCAATATTACTGAAAAAAATACAAGATGTAGAACTACCTGCCATTTAGGACAGATACTGTGACACCATTAACACTAGGTGGCTCAGCATCAACTTTTGACCCCTGATCACTTCTTACTTCTACGTGGAAATATGCTGGATGCTTTGGATCCGGTAGGGTCATATTATCGTTGCTTAGCATGGCAACGACGGCTGACATGGTGGGGCGATCAACTGCCTTCTCTTGCACACACAACAATGCAATTTTAACACATCTCATCATGTCTAATGCATGAATCTCCGGAGGTAAGGATGCATCTATGAGTTCAAGCCACCTTTCCTCTTTCCACAACTTCCATGCCTTCATGAATTTTAATCACATAATATGTTAAATTACTGCATAAAAACTATTTTACATAATAAATTTAAAATACTCACATATCCAAGAAGGTTGAAGAAGTTGCCAAACTGATGGAAACCAGAGTTTCTTGTTCCACTGACAATTTCAATAATTAGCACACCAAAACTGAATACATCTGATTTGATTGAGAAAATGCCCTCCGAAGCATACTCGGGAGCCATATAACCACTGACAGAATGCGTTTGACACATGAAGAACAGCAAACTTCTGTGTCAACATTTGTATTTGGATGATTAATCTGTAATATAATCAGGATGGTGTAATTCTAATAAAAAACTTACAATGTCCCAGCAATCCTTTTTGTGTTTCCTTCAGTATCATTTGTACCGAATATTTTTGCAAGCCCAAAATCAGAGATTTTAGGATTCATATCACAGTCCAAGAGAATGTTGCTTGCTTTAAGGTCTCTATGTATCACTCGCAACCGAGAGTGCTTATGCAGATACAGAATTCCTTGTGCTATGCCTTCAATTATCGATAGCCGTTTGTTCCAATCAAGTAAAGCTCTTCGTGCTTGGTCTATAATAAAAAAAGGCATTTCCAATAGGTAGAGTAAATTCATCTTAACAAAACAGTTGGAATTAATGTGGCCATAAATTATACTGGGATGTTAGCGAAGTAATACCAAAGATAAAGAAGTCCAAGCTCCTGTTTGGCAAATACTCATATATCAGTATTTTCTCCTCTCCTTGTATGCAACATCCCAATAGTCTAACCAAATTCGTGTGTTGAAGCTTGGCTATGAGTCTGACTTCATTTTGGAACTCTATAAGACCTTGCCCAGAATGTGAAGCAAGTCTCTTAACAGCTACCTCCGACCCATCAGGAAACTGACCCTAGAAAGACCAAGAAAAGAGTTCAATAATCGATACATTTTTTTAGTTCACTTATTCATGAACTTGACTGTATCTCCGAGTAAAACGAAGTACTTGTAAACATTAATTTGTAGGGTGTATCTTCTTAATGCAAAGTCTATTGACTTGTATATTTATATCTGCATTGAATATATCCAACAGTACCAAAATTACTCAACCATTTAAATAAGAGATGAAACTACTAAAACAAGTAATGGGGATAAGAAGTAAGAAAGATTACAATCCCACCAAAAAACAACATTGAAATGCAACACGTCAGGCTATTAACACATTAACAGTAACTCGAGTTACGTGGATGAAAACTAAATTAAGAAGATTTATGTTCTAAAGTGAAAACCTGGGCATCCTTGGTTTTTTTATGCAGAGGCCGGGGGTGAATCTCCTATTCCAAAAAAAAGAAAATCCTTGTTTTTTTTATGTATGCTAAAGCATATGACAAAGTGGAATACGTGGCCATGGAGGTCTTTGCCTAGTATGGGTGGTGGCTTTAGTCTACGGATCAGCCCTCACTATGTTAGGTAGTCTTTTTTGTTATGTCATGCTATGTCTTTACTTCATGATGGTTTTGGATTTCCCTTGTATGAACTGTGTGTGTTGTGCATCACCTTATGCAGAAACCAGGAGTGAACTCTCTATGATTCTATTGGCTCCATGCGATATATTTAGTCAATAAAACTCCCTTTATTGAAAACATTCCATGCCAAAGCATCGTTCTTTTACCTTGTACACAGGACCGAAGCCACCTTGCCCCAGTTTACTTTCATCTGAAAAGTTGCTTGTAGCATTTGATACTTCTGAAAAGTCAAAGAATGAGAATTCGGAATTCCTTCCTTCTAATCCCAGAGCTAATACTTCTTCATGGACATTCATATTAGCCTTGTCGTGAAATCTCGCTTTACCTAGTTCCATATATCATAATTGATTTAGTCATTTCAATTATGATGATGTTGATTAAGGCTAAATAGGGGCGAGAATAGATGATGCAGAAGCACAAGATAAATTAAAGCAAATAATGTTTTCCGTGACTGACCTTTTCTGTGCCTCTTGTTCCACGCAAAACAAGAGATGGAGCAAACAAGCAAAGCCATCATAGGAATAAGGGTGACAGTAACCAAAACCGCCTTGCCCAAACGCACTAAAAGTAGATTTCACATAAATATACAAGTGGTAATTAGTAGTTAATAAGACAATGAATGTAGGGTGCATAATTATACTACAAAATTATGGTTCGATTTTGTGGAAGCTGCCAAAATACGTAAATGTAATATGGCACCATGTACAATATTAGCATGAACCCGAAACAACTGTCTTATCTGTTTTGTTTAAGGGTTCACTGGTAAAAATTTGAATCATAGTATGCATGCACCTCCTCTCAGGTTGAAGAGAGGTGCCATAGGAATGTCAATGATAACCTAGCCGCTGCAGCCCCACCTCCTCCTCTCCTCTCCTCCCCTGTTGCCGCCGGAGGACGCCGGCGGCGACAGGGATGCCTTCTCATGTGATTATCTTTCGCACGATGAGCTCCCTAGTTGCGTAGAGAGGCGGCCTTGGACAGCGCGGTGTGGTCGGTGGAGCTTGGACGCGGGGTAGCGGCCTCAGGTGTGATAGGTGGCCGTCGTGTTGTTGTGTTGCATGGGCAGTGGCGTCTGGCGCGGATGGCCGCGTGTGGTGATGGGCCTCCCACACCCGGATCTGGCAGCAGCGGCCCAGGGACTTGTTGACAATACCAGCGGCGGAGAGATGTCAGTGACACAAAAAACGTGCATCGGCGAGTTGGGGGTGGTGTGGCTGCGGCTACGGCTTGTGGCGTCTGTGGATTTATCGCCATGTCTTGGCGTCGCTGTTTCCATCAGTCTCTGCCACATGGTTTTTAGTGCGCGTGAGATGGATCTCAGTGATGTTCAGCTATCTGTGTTATGTGACAGTTCTCTGCTCACATGCATATCGCATGGTGATATCCGCACCAAGGATATGAACGAGCAGCTAACTCCTGTCATGAATGCCATGGAATGGTCGGATTTCAATTCCCCTTGATCATTGTGCGTGGATGTCTTTCCATGCAACTTCATCTTCTTTGGTAAACGGTGCCAACAACACACGGTATATTCGGTTTGTTGTTGCTCGAAGCTTCAGGGTAGAAACCCTATGTCCAACCCTCGATGGTCGCGCCCGGTAATGTTTCCCATGTCGTGTCCTTGCTCCGAAGTCTAGTCAGGCGTGCTCTCTAGGGTGAAAATCCAAGATCTGGCGTGCAGTGGTTGGTTCTCGCGACGGCCACGCTTGAGCTTCATTACCTTACTGTAGGTGTTGTTCTGAGAGGAACTTTCTTGTAACCAGCTTGTTGTTAAGGATAGTGGATGGCTTTGTTTATGGTCTGCTGCAAGTCGTTGGCTGTGTCGGCTTTTCTTCTTCTTTTTATCTTTTTTTGGTTGTGTGCCTCGATGCATACAGACTAGGTTTTGATATTGTGATATTGTAGAGGTCAGGTGTAATAGATAAAACAACGCCAGCCAGACCAGATGGCATGTAAAAAGGGAGATCCATCCTGACCGTAAAACAAAAACCCTCGTTGTCGCACACACACAACAAGAGTCATCCTATCCTGGATTCCTAGCTACTTCGGTCGGCATGTTACCAATAATCCGGAAGGTTATACACTACTCAAACTGAGGTTTCAGTCACGAATCCTAGCTGGTTCATTTTGGTTGACAACCCTACTTTGTACTGTATTATACATATAGTGGATCTGATTTGTTGTTGTGGAAAAGAAAAAGAAAGAAAGAAAGAAAGGAAGATATTGCGTACCCTTTTGCGTCTGGCTGGGCACAACGGAGGGCGTTGGTGGTGGAACAGCAGCACCCTTCCAGCGAATTTGCCGCATGGGCTGGGCGTGGTAGAAGTTGGTCGTTCCGTACCTGAACTGACACTGCACGCCAAGAACCCGCCCACCTTGCTGTCCGGTGAAGTATCTGGCCATGAACTTGATGCTCATATTGTCGAGGCAATCCCGGCAGCCATTATCCTGTAGTATGTCTTCATTTGGTATGCACTGCGCCTGAGAGTAGAGCGGCGGGAAGGTGCCGCCGACATACATGTGGACGGTGCCATAAGCCAGTTCGGTGGCGTACGGCGACGGTGCCGTCAGCGTGACCGTCTCATTGAGCAGCAACTTGATGATGTCGGTGATGGTGGTGATGGCGTCAACGTTGCCGGGATCCCAGCCAGGTAACATGGGCTCCGTGTTGTTGGGGAGGAAAATAAAACCGTCAGCAGGACCCGTACCTCGGGAGTCGTAGGCGTAGCTGGAGAAACGAAGGAAGCATGAACCGTAGAAGACGGCGGCGTACTTGCTCAGTGGGCACAGGCGCTGCGCGTCCTGGAACGCGGTGGCGAGGCACTCTGCACAGGCGGAGGCGTTGGTGTCACCGCTGCAGCGCGCGAGGCCGTACGCGATGTCCGGCTCGGTGCCCACGGAGACCTTGGCGAACAGGTCCGCTGCGGACGAGGCATTGTTGGAGAGCGCTTTGGCTAGCAGTCCAAGATTGTATCGGTAGGTGCCGTCGAGCGAGTAGTTGCCGAATTGGCCGCAGATCTGTCCCAGGGGTTCCGCGGCGGCAGACGGCGTGAGGCCGAGAAAGAAGAGCAGGAGGAGGAGGATGATCAGCATGACTGGCACCGGTGGTAGGATGAGCAACTGAGGAGCACGACGAAGATATTCCAGGTTATGTCACTCCTGTCGTGTCGGCATCATTTGGAAAACCTGCACATTCGTGTGACTGGTGTGAGCGTTGGACTGAGTCAGACTTCCCTGCCCCCCCTAGTACCATCCTCTAGATATGTTCCATGTCTTAGTTTGAATTGAATAGTCAAATTATTATCCCAAGGTCACGCCTAATTTGCCCTGCTGCCAAGCACCACCACGCAGAACATGCCCCCTAATTTCCACGCCGTCGGTGTTGAACACTGTGGCTTGGCCCCCGCCTCCTCCTTGGTTTGTTGACTGACAACCCTACGTGTTGCCGCCCGGCGCCACAAGCGCCTTCCGTTCTTTTAATTCTCTCCACAAGCTCCTTGAACACAGTCGCGGCTGCGTTGAGCTCCTCGACCGCAACACAGCACCAACCGATCGATTCGCCCATCACCGCTGGTTCAAAGGCTTTCCTAGCTTATCGTCGGACTCGCTGACTAGTGGTTGTTATCGTTGTTCTCGCTTGAACACTCACGAGAGGATCGTTCATGGAAGATCACTCGGGGAGAGGGTTTACCCTCGGTGATTCACCTCACCACCAGCTCTTTTCACGACTATCGTCTGCAAGTTGGGGGCTCACTCCAGCAAGATCTATCTATCTACTCCCTTCGTTTCTAAATATAAGTCTTTTTAGAAATTTCAATATGGACTATATACGAAACAAAATGAGTGAATTTACATTCTAAACTATGTTTGTATACATCTGTATATAGTTCATATTGTAATCTATAAAAAGACTTATATTTAAGAACGGAGGAAGTATCAATAATATACTAAAAGGAAAATACGGATCAAAAATATAGGAATAAGCTAGAAAATCCCACAAAAATTAGAAATATCTTTTTTGACAAAGGGTGAATTTTATTAACTCAAAATGAAGCGTCAACTGTATACAAACACAATGAGCACACCCGGCCTCTGATTGCTAGGTTGCACACAACCAATACATGCACACAAGAACACTCCACAAAATAACAAAGTCATATAAGACCAAAGTTATATGTAGGTGAGAAAAGAATTAGAGTGATCAGATCCACAATCGGAAAATTACATCAATGATAATATTTGCACCAATCATCTCATGACAGCACACAAACGACGAGGTTCTTCAACCGCAACGCTTTCAGAAAGGGAGCGACGCTCAATCCCTGCCATCCAGGGGCGACGCCAGGGGTCTTCACGTGTATTCACGTGAATACCAAAGATTTAGCCCCAAAAAATTAATACATGTCTTATTTTGCAGTCCACAAGGCCAAAAGCCTACAGGCTACAGCCCTACGGCCGACCAACTCGTCCGTTCACCGACTCGTTCAACCCGAATCCATTCCCCCACCTCCCCACTCTCGTTCCCAAACCTAACCTACTCCCTCCTTTCCGGTTTATAGGGCTTATCTCAAAATTTTATTTTTTTCATTTTATAAGGCTTAATTTGGTTATTTTCCATCACATGTTCAAATTCCAAGGTGCATTAAATCATTGCATGCAAGTATTAAGAGAAAATTGACCAATGCATGTACTTTATGCATGCATGCATTCCAATTAATGCATTGATAAACATAATTTTTTGAGGAAAACAAGAGCATTAATTAGGTGCTTTTCCAAAACTACAAAAAGTATTCCACCACTCACCATCTACCTTGATTGGTGAGATTTTTGAATTAAGCCCTATAAACCGGAAAGGAGGGAATATAGCGCCTTCCGCTGCGGCGCCGGCGGCCGGCGGCCAGTAGCGACCGCAAGCAGCGGCAAGCGGAGGCGGCCAGTGGCGACCACGACCAGCGACTGACCACGACCCAGTACTGCCACGACCAGGTTCTATTCTCCTCTTCTCCTAGTTCTACTGTTCTAGTTCTCTTCCTTTAAGAAGCCAAGAAGGCCAGCCAGTTCCAACTTCCAACTTCCAACTTCCTAATTCACATGGCCTAGTCTGAATATTGTTCTTTGTCATTCCATCAGGCATCCGCGGTTTCACGGAAACTTGTCCACACGCAGCTGACGGAGCTTTATCAAAAGACAGAAGTACAGGGAGAAAGGTCAGCTTCCCTTATTGGTTTAGTTTGTGTATCGTCTATTATATGCGCAAACGGCCAGAGGAAAATTGCGTACCGATGTTTGTCAAAATCATAGGACAAGGAATCAAAGAAGCGGCTCGAACAATGTCAGGGTGAGGCTTGATAGGGCCGTTGCAACAAATGAGTGGAGGAATCTATTCTCTTTTGCCTCTGTACATCATATTCTTAGTCCTTGTTCGGACCATGTGGCAGTTCTCCTCAAAGGCGAGGCGGATTCAGGACCGGTTGGGCCAAAACAGCGCCGATACGAGATTTTCTGGGAGCGGGACTCCACGCTGCCGGAGGTCATCAAGACTGCTTGGGAGTCTGTTGGAAATGTCCAAACTTTGGAGCAGCTGCGAGAGGCACTAACCAAGACGATGGTGTCGCTGGGGTCTTGGTGCAGGAAGTTCGGGAATGTAACAAAGGAGTTAGCTAAGTCCCGATCACAGCTAGAAGAGCTCATGCATATGAATGCAGACAGACAAGAAATAAGGAAAGTGATAGACAGAATGAATGATCTTTTGTACCAAGAGGAGATGATCTGGCTCCAAAGATTGAGAATTTCATGGCTTAAGGAGGGCGACCGCAACACAAAGTTTTTTCATAGTAAGGCAGTGTGGAGGGCTCGAAAAAACAAAATCAGGCAGTTAACAGATAGTATTGGGGTGGTCCATTCAGATTTGATATCTATGGGTAAGTTAGCGAACGAGTATTTTCGTGATATCTTCACAATGGATGTTAACCTTGATGCAGGCCATGTGGTTGATCTCTTTGAAGTACTGGTCACGGAGGAGGACAATAATAAGCTGTGTGCTCCGTTTAGTGATAAGGAAATCTCTGACGCACTCTTCCAGATAGGACCACTTAAGGCGTCGGGACCCGATGGTTTTCCAGCCAGATTCTTCTAGAAGAATTGGGCGACTCTCAAGGACAGTGTGATTGCGGCTGTTAAGGACTTCTTTGGGACGGGGGTGATGCCAGAGGGAGTAAACTCCACGACAATTGTCCTCATTCCGGAAGTTGCTAATCCTACAAAGTTAGACTGAGTATAGGCCAATTAGCCTCTGCAATGTGATATACAAGGTCATATCTAAGTGTTTGGTTAATAGGCTCTGTCCTCTCTTGGACGACCTAATCTTAGATGAGCAGAGTGCGTTCATACCGGGTAGGATGATTACTGATAATGCACTAATTGCCTTTGAGTGCTTACACTACATCAAACAGGAAAAGGACCCCACAAAAAGCTTTTGTGCATATAAGCTTGATCTCTCCAAAGCATATGATAGGGTGGACTGGGGATTCTTGAGGCAAGTGATGCAAAAGTTGGGGTTCTCTCAGCGATGGATAGACTGGATTATGACTTGTGTCACATCGGTGAGATATTCTGTCAAATTAAACGGAACTCTCTTGGATTCATTTGCACCGACGCGTGGGCTTCGGCAAGGTGATCCCCTTTCACCATTCTTATTCCTGTTTGTGGCGGATGGTCTTTCGGCGATCATAAGAAAAAGAGTGGCTTCTGGTCATATTACTCCAGTAGAGTATGCAGGCGAGCACCGGGCATATCTCACTTGTTATTTGCTGACGATACCCTATTGTTTTTTGAGGCAACTAGAGGTCAGGCAGAGAGCGTTAAGGAAGCTCTAGACTTGTATGGTGCGGCCACTGGGAAAAGTTTCAACTATGAAAAATGTTCCATGTTCTTTGGTTCTTCTTGTCCGAACACAATTCAAGATGAGGTTCGGCAGGTGCTGCGTGTGCAAAGTCGGGCTTTTGAGAAGTATTTGGGCCTGCCTACTCCCGAGGGTCGCATGTCTAAGGGGAAGTTCCAAAACCTTCAGACAAGCTTGACAAAACGCCTTATTCAGTGGGGAGATGGTCAACTTGCCCCAGCCCGGAAGGGAGGTATTAGTGAAAGCTGTTGCACAGGCGTTGCCAACCTATATCATGGGGGGTTTCAAATTGCCATTTTCAGTTTGCGATGATCTTACAAGAATGGTTAGGAATTTTTATTGGGGTTCGGCAAGGGGGAAAAGAAAGGTCCATTGGAGGGGGTGGGACCATCTCATGCAGCCAAAGGATAGAGGCGGTGCAGGTTTTCGTGATTTTCGGGTGTTTAACCAGGCGCTTTTGGCTCGACAGGCGTGGAGATTGATCTCTAGGCCGGACAGTTTATGTGCACAGGTTCTGAAAGCAAGATACTATCCAGAGGGCAAGCTTGAGGATACGGTTTTTACCAGGAATGCATCCTCTTCCTGGCAAGCAATAAGCCACGGGTTAGATTTGCTAAAGAAGGGTTTGATTTGGCGTGTGGGCAATGGCAGGAGCATACGAGTTTGGCGCGACAACTGGATCCCGAGGCCTTTCTCATATAAACCTATCTCATTGCAAGGCAGATGTCGTGTACACTATGTCTCCGATTTCCTGAATGAGAATGGATCCTGGAAGGGGCAGTTACTGTCGGAGTACTTCCTTGCCGCGGACGTTGATGAAATACTTAAGATTAGAGCTTCTCCGAGGCAGGCCGAAGATGTTATTGCATGGGGACCCAATAAGCTGGGAGTGTTCACAGTAAAAAGTGCTTATATGTTGGCATTTGATGAAGCACATAGAGAGAGGGCATCCTCATCTAGCTCTTCTCCAGATGGGAGTAGAGCTTGCTGGTCTTACATATTGAAAAGTGTGGCGCCTCGTACTGTTAAGAACTTTGCTTGGCGAGTAGCGACTGATGGGCTTCCCACTTGGCGGAACAAGCATAAAATTGGACTAGAAGTGTCCAGTACCTGTCCAGTTTGTGGTGTTGAAGAGGAAGATAATTTTCACCCCTTTGTGCGCTACCAGTTTGGGAGAGACTTGTATCTAGAG